ATTATTATTATTATTATTATTATTACTATTACTACTAGTAGTAGTAGTATTGTTGTTGTTGTTGTTGTTGTTGTATTATTGTTATTTATAATTTGTACAATTAACCTCCCTATGGTTCGACCCCGGTCTTGTCGGGTTATTTATTACTTCGACACTCCTACTTTTGAAAGAAGACATCAATTTTTTGATCGTGTTAGCAATAATATTTTTTGCAAATAAAAAGATAAGGATTGTTACAAAGTCAAGAAGTGACCACCAACTTAATAATTAGTCATCAAATCAACAATTTCAAATTTTAACCTATAAAAAGACACTTATCATGTATTTATGCATCTTGATTTTCAAATTAAGATCATGTTCTTCCTCGTTTTCTTTATATTTTTATAATACTTAAGTTTTGCTTTCATTAATCTCTTATTTATGCCTTTCATTTCCTTTCATTTACTAAGTTAACTTATATCTTATTTATATTCTTATCTTGTTTGTCACACCCTCTCGAGCGAAGCGCAGCATCCGATGGCAATTTTTTTCTTGTAATATTTTGCTTGATTAGTTCTTCGAAGTCATCACCAAGTATTATGATCATTAGGAAACCTAACTGGTCTTTCAGAGATTATAAGGTAAGGGACTAATTGCGTAAAGGGAAGGTATTAGCATTTCTAATGCACTCTACCTAACATAAGTTGCTTAGTGTTTGGTTTACTTTATCATTGTTATGGTGTTAGTGTTTTCTAATCTTATAAGTTTTTCTAGGTTTGATTCCAACCAAATTTATTAAAATAGAAATCCAAGGAAATTCCATGTGCTTTAAAAGCTCATTTTTCCCTTGGTATTTTAAGATTTTTTGTCTTAGTATTTTATACTCTCATGACTTGTAAACCGAGGAGTAAATATATATATATATATATCCTCGATTATAATCAAAGCTTCTTTCAAGGATGTGTGATGACATATTATTCCTAGAAAATTATTTTGGATATTTATCAATTAAGGTTTCTTTATCCAAATATTAACGGTGAATAATAATAAGTTATTTCCATTACATATTTTGGATATTCATCCCTTTGAAATTTTTTTATCCAAACATTAACGGTGAATAATATATGAATTATCCATAAAATAAAATTTTATATTTTTTTGAATATTGACCAATACCCTTTGAAGTTTTACAAACATGTTGTAAAATACAGAAATGCAAGAAAATAATTTTTGTATTTAAGACATCTATGCAAAAACACATTTTTCAAAAGTTTGAATAATTGCTACTCTTTATATATATATATATATATATATATAAAAACAAAAACGTTCAAAACATGTTAGGGTATTGGTCTTATACAACACACAAAAAAAAACATTTTTTTATATATTCTATTAAAAGCACATACATCACATTTAATCATAATTAAAGTCAACAAACCACATATTAGTCAAATTCTTAAGACTTTAATAAATTAATTATTAAATTTCAAAAAATATATAGAAACATATTCTTATATTTTTACAGGAAATACAAAATGATTTTATCTATCCTCGTGATATTTGATTATATACAAATTAAAACATTTTTTTCTTTTTTATTATATTTTTCTCCTACACTTATAGTTACATGTTACCAATCACCAAAATTCAACATAAAACAAACAATACATCACACAAATAAAATTACATAATAGCCCCTAAAATTTCAGGGAATTGTTGGGAAGGCTTCTGGACCACAAAATAGTGGCAGCGCGTCTAATTCACGCACCACCACCACAGGCGGCGCGTGGGCTCACGTGCCGCTGGAAAAAAAACGATAAGGGAGATTTGTAACGGCTTCCTTCCCTCTTCACTGTCCTGCCGGTGGTGGCTTTCATCGTGACTTGCAACAAGGAAAAAAACACAAGCAGTTGATTTTAAATTTTTTGTTTCTTGTTCACGGATCTATTTTCTCTCTTCTTATTTGTTTTGGATCTGCTTCCCTTTACATATCTGTTCTTCTCTTTTCCTTTCCCATTCTTCTCTGTCTCAAGTGGCGGCAAGACCAAGGGGGTCGCCGACTGCTAGGCTCTAGGTTTCCATCCGGTCTGTGCAGCTATCGGTGGTCGATTCATGTCTTGGCGAAGACGACGGCCTACAGACTGCTCCCTTTCGATTAGAGGGGAATGAGTAGATCGAGATAAATGGCCTGTAGGGTTGCTATCCTTTAGCTGGTTCCGATGCTAGTTGAAGGAGATTAAGGAAAGAATGGGGGTGATCGGGTCTTCACGAGAAGCGCGGTGATGGTGAAAGAGAAACAACTGAGTGGGCTATTGTTTGGCCGTTGCTATTGGAGGCTGAATGGTGGGGAGAGATGGTTTAGCTTGTGAGGGAGGATCTGGTGTTGGCTTTTTGTTGATGAGAGGGAGAGGGGATAGTGTATGGGCCTTCCACTGACGGAAAAAGAAACCAAATCCAAGGGGAGAGGGGGTGCCGCTAGCAGGTTTGTATCTGTCAATGGGAGTGGGGCGGCTGGTTTCGAAGAAAGAAAATCAAAGCCGGGTGGGGAGCGGCTGTTTGAGTTAGATAGGTTTAGGGTTAGGTTTTCCTTTTTGTTTTTTTTCGTATTTTTCTTTCAAAATTACCCCCTTGTGAATATTTTTTTCTCCCCTCCGTCCTCTCTTCTCACTAGAGGTTCACTTATATATTAATCTTTCTATGTATTATTCAAGAAAATATTGCAATAATTATTACAGAGAATAATTATTGCAGAGATTGTTTTCCATAATCAATATTAACAAATCCTATATATATGATATTTTATATTGTAGTAATTATTTTCCATAACCAGCATGCATCAAATCATATATCTATGGTATTTTATATCGCAATAATGATTCAATAATTATCTCTTTGACATATTGCCTCCTTAATATTAGCCTTGATGTTTTATGTTATCGCCACATGTAAACCCCTATTTGTTTATTTTTTTATTTGTTATTTTTGAAAATTTATAAAAAAATATGGGTTAAAAATTGGGTAGCAACATTGTTTATTTATGTTTCTATCTTTCATTATGTTTAGTTAAGTTTAATATGTAAATGTGAAAAGGTTTCACTAATGGTGTTAAAATAAGTATAATATAAACTCAACATGAACTTCAAAGTTTATATCCAAAAAAGTTTATTATTAACATGTCTTATCTTTTTATCTTACTAATTTTTAATACCTTACTTGTTAAATGGTTAATCTAGATTTGTATTGTATAACACTTGATACAACAAATGCTTGGTACTTTCATAGCCAACCCGTATGGTATAACCTATATCTGTGCTATGAAAGAAACTTGATTTATTGTAAGTTAGTATCGCACGTGTGCGGCATCGCGGCGAGTTTTCCACTTTTATCTGGAAATATTGTATATCTATCTGGCAAATATAGAGGGACAAGAAAATCTAGTCTTTTATTGGTGAAAAATGGAATGGGAGTCGCCACCTACTATTTTAGTCACTAGGAACCCTAACTGGTCTCAGAGATCGGGTACGGGGACTGGTTGCGTAAAGGAAAGGTATTACCACCCCAAATATGTCCTACCTAAGGTAAGCTGCATTGTTTTATTGTCTGATAAAATCTAAGGTTTTTTGTGTTTCCTAGTTGTTAGTATGGTTTAAGAAAAGTTCTCCTCGGTAAGGAGATCCTTATCTTATCGGGTAACTCTAACCTAAACATAAAAATTTAATTTCTAGAATACGTCTTATGTATAAGATCGTAACCCCGGATACTAAAAGAAAAAAAAATAATTTTTTTGGAATTTTTTGAAATATTGGCCTAGTTCTCATAGCTTAAATAAACTGGTTATTAAAGCCAAAATGCATGCTAATACATATATTTTTTTAAAAAAAAATTCATTGTATGACAATATGATGTGATGATATATATATATTGGAGAGACTAGGCCGTATTTGAAAACAAAACATTTTTTATTTTTCTATTTTTTTATGACTTAACGAAAACCGGGTATTTTAATACTAAATTTGTATCTTTATAGTATAAAAATACAAATAGATATTGATCAAAATACGGTAATAAAATTACAAAAAAATCATAGATTCTTTGAAGAAAATTTTCAGAATGGGTCAGACCTGGCCCAAAAGGAAACTGGGCTGAAATCAGCCCAACATACAAGGGACCCCTATTTTACAGGGCTGGACTCAACCCAGTCGTATGGGTAGGGCTGATGTTCCAGCCCACAACAAACAGTAACCGGGTACTGTGCATGTGCATGTGCACAGTACCCCGTTTATTAATTAGTCTGGTACTGTGCACATGCACAGTAACTAGTGGATTAATTAGCAGTTACTGTGCACTTGCACAGTAACTGCTAATTATCTTCTTGCTAGTAGAATGTGACACGATCAAAAGTTGATGTCTTCTCCCAAATGTAGGAGTGTTGAAGTAATAAATAATCCGACAAGATCAGGGTCGAACCACAGGGAGGTTAATTGTACAAATTATAAATAACAATAATACAACAATAATAACAATAACAACAACAACAACAACAACAACAACAACAACAACAATAATAATAATAATAATAATAATACTAAAGAAAAAGAAGGAGAAGAAGAAGATGAGAACTTTGAGAAGGAATATTAATGTAACGATTAAACAATGATAATAACAGATGTTAAGGTTAGAGATTCCACTAATAGTATGTCAAACAAGTATAATATAAACTCTTATTATTCAATTGGAAACCACATATAAAGGAGGTTCCAATCAGATTATAGATTGTTAACATGATTACATTAGTCATCTTATTCGATTAATGCTAATACTTGTAAATCTCGTCAAGTATTCATGATTATAACTTATGTTGACAACAAATCAAGTTCCTTTCATAGCTCAGGTGTCGGTTAT